GGTTCTGCAATGAACTGCGAAGTCTCACAACTGTCAAAGGAAATGGCTCACATAATTGTGGAGGCTGACAAGGCCCAAATCTGTAGTTCAGAGGTCAGTCTGGATGATTCTCCTCAGGAGCTGAGGAAACCAAATCAGCAAGTCAGTCCATAGGCTGTTGATACACAAGGCTGCAGGAGACAATGAATCAGGTCAGATGATGGTCCCAAGTCCTGACCTGGAGGTGAAACATGATGAACCTGATAAAAGATCCAGAGCAAGAGAGTGAACCACCAACCTTTTGGTTAGCAGTCTAGTGCTTATCCTACAGCGCCACACCAGGGCTCCAATGACAGGCACAGACGCTAGGATTTACAATACATCACAGAATGGGACAATATGGCTAGAAGGCCTATTATAAATAATGAGCGCCCTGCAATAAGTAATAATCAATTCTGCAGTGGTGTTGGCTAGCCAGCTTTTTAATATATGCATTTTTGAGATAAAATTTACCATTTTATCCAGTGTATATTGCAGTGGTTTGTAGTATAGTCATAATTGTGTGCAATCATCACTACTACCTAATCCCAGGACATTTCCATCAACTCAAAAACAAAAGACCCTCCATTGGTCACTACATTGGTGGGTTGTCTAGAGACACAATAGTCAAGAGGCAGCTAACCTTTCAAAGTCCAACCCCAAAGATCCATTCATCTGGGTCTTCTTCCATCCAGGATGGGGGTGAGGGCACCAGAGACAGCTGAAATGGGAGGAAAAGTCAGACCGAGAGATAAGACCCTCAAGGGAGAATTTGCATGAGGTAAGAGGGATAATGGGAAATGTGTACGAATTGAGTTTTATCCTGCTCTGATACATACCAGGTGCATACTAGTATGCACATTCTGCACATGACTGCTTCTTGACCTGTAAAATGGGTATAATGGAGGGGCAGAGAAAAAGAAGAAGACCCCAACGAGATGGATTGGCCAAGTGGCAGCATCGGTGGACTCAAGAGTGGCAACAGTAGTGAGGTTGGCCCAGGATCCGGCAGTATTTCGTTCTGCTGTACATAAGGTCGCTATGAGTCAGTACCGACTCGATGGCACCTAACAACAACATAGGGCTAGATTGTAAATATTTTAGGCTTTGTGAGCCTGTTTATTGTAATTCCTCAACTCTATTCTTGTGGCGGAAAAGCAGCTAGAGACAATATGTAAGGGAATGAGCGCAGCTGTGTTCCAATAAAACGGTAGCCACAAAACAGGTACTGAGCTAGCTTTGGCCCACAACTGTTGGGAAGGTTGTGACTAGTGACCGCTGTTCTCTGGGGAGGCAGCGGATGTAGCTCAACATGTCCCCTGGTAGTGAGTGCTTCCAAAGAGGAAAGGCACGGTCCTGGCAGTGGGACGGGGGTAGGTTCCGTTGGCGGCACTACCATAGACGAAATCGAGACGCTCACAAGGCAGTCACCCTCTTGGGGCAGCCAATTCCTCGAGGGTTAAACGCTATGCAAAGGGAAGCTGCCACAAGCAGCCGGCGTGGCTCAGTCATCCGCTAGCAATGCCGCAGACAAATCGCGAGCCAACCTTAAAGAGTCCAGGTAACAGAAGAGCTGAGAGCGAAGACCTTAAACCCTACAGACAGCTCGTCCCACTAAACCCTTCCCCTATAGCCCAAACCTACAACCAGCCCGCTTAGCACCCAGCCCCGCCCCGCCCCTGGACCGGCGTGCCTTGCGCTCGGCTCTGCCCCTAGCCATTTCGCCCCGCCCCCAGACCGGCTTGCTTTGCGCCTGACTCCGCCTTGCGCACGCTTTTGCGGGTCCTAGAGAAGGTGGAATAAGGGAGGCAGTGGTCGCGGAGGCGATCTGACCTGTGGGCCAGTGTGACCTTACCTCCTGTCCCGTCTCCTTGCTGCCAGCGTGCGTACGAGGAGGTAGCTCAGGAGGTGAGAACTGGAAGAGCCCCTACGAAAATCCTACATCTCCTGCTCGCCCCACGCGGCCCTGCCTCCGAGACCATGGCCCCAGTGGTCCTGGGGGCATTGCAACCTTAGCCAAGACCCTTCCCTCCTTGCTCACAGTTTCTTTATAGGGAAAATGCCTGCCTTTTTGTGTGTGTGTGTGTGTAATATGTGATTCGGGAGTTTTTTATTGAAATAGGTCAAGCAATACCACCACCCTCATACTTACTAACAGCAGCAGCTTGCTTGCTAATCACTTTTTCTCAGAAAGATAGTACACATCAACCAAAGTTAAATAATTAGGATTTTTTACTTAGTTACAGGTGAAGTGATTGGAAGTTCAAGATATATTTCGGGGGGAAAAAAAAACAGTTTGGGGAGAGCACGTGAATGGGAGGAGGGATGAAACAAGATTGGCTATGAGTTTCTAATGGTTGTACTACCTTCTCCACTTCTGTATAAATTTGTAATTTAACAAGAAACGTTTTCCCAAATGAGAAATTTGCCATAGACTCCTTACACACTGTGTTCAATCACTGTGCTGCTTTGCTAGCTGTGTTTTGGGCCAGTTTGCTTGTCAGTGCCTTAGTTTCTACCGCTTTAAAATGGGGGCAACAATAGTAATTGTGATAATTCAGTTATTAAATAATATATGGAAAGCACTCAGAACTATGTCTAACATATGTTAAGTTAAAAAATTAGCATAGGTGAGGGTAAGTCGAAAAGTGTTACTACTAGGGTTCCAATTCATACATGTACAGGGTTATTCCAAACAACAATGTGTAAGCATGTCTCTGGATCAGTGGACGACTGCAGACAAGTCTCTCAGTAATGCACTTGTTTTTCTTTCCTTAGGAGAGCATGGTGGCTCTACAATAAGCATTGGACTGTGATCCACAAGGTTGACAGTTCGAGTCTTCCAGCTGCTGTGCTGGAGAAAGGTGAGGCTTTCTGCTTCTGCAAAGATGTACAGCTTCAGAAACCCTGTTGTTGTTAAGTACTGTTGAGTCCATTCTGACTCAGGGTTTCCAAGGAGCAGCTGGTGAGTTTGAACCACCGGCTTTTCAATTAGCAGTTCAGTACTCATGAGTCAGAACTGAATCAACTGCACTTAGCAACAACAACACTTTCATTAGGATGCCTCCAAAAAAGGGGGGATATGGAAAAAAATGATTTTGAACTCAGGCCTAATATCAAATTTTAAAGAAAACTAAAGTGGACATGTTCCCAAATCATTGAAACTGTACAAGTTTATGTGAATTCTGCCCCACATAAAACAACCATTTTTAGGTAAATCAAGTCTCTTAAGAAAGATCGGGAAGACCTCAAAGATGAACCGTGAGACGGATGATTGTCAGCCTTAATGATGAAAAAACTATGGCTGAAGCCCAGAGACTGGTGGGAGAAAAATCATAGAATTACTGTTTTACAATAGCTGCTGAAGCTGTGATCTGACATGGTTCAGCATTTTTTTTCATTTTAAGAGAATATCATGGCCTCCGAATTCAGCTTGATGAGTACCAAAAACATTGTGTGAAGAATATTGGTTAGCTGTAAGAGCTGATCTTTCCAACTCTTCCAGTCTTTTAAGCAAGATCAAAGTGAATGAAGATGGTTTTATGGAATGAATATTAACCAGGGATGAGTCTTTGATTTACCAATACAATTCAGAGAACAAAGTCCATTCAAACCAGGCTTCCAAAGAGATCTGCTAGGCTGCTGAAATTTCAAGGCGAGGAGGTCAGCTCAGAAGGTTATGGAGACTTTTTTTGGATTCTTAGTATATTTCCCCAAAGGACAGGACAATCATGAAGACTTGTTAAAGAAATTTTTAAGAGAATTGAAAACTACATTGGTCAGGAAAGTTGCACCAAGGAATGTTTTTCCATCACAACAATGCACCTGCTCATTCTTCAAGGGTGGCAAGAACTGTTCTATGAGAATTTCATTAGGAAACCTTACCCCGTCCACCTACAGTCCTGCTCTTGCCCCTTCAGACTTCTTTTTGTTCCCCAAGCCCAACATTTGAAAGGAACATGATTTGAGTCCCTGTGTTCCCCAAACTCAACATTTAAAAGGAATATGTTTTGAGTCCCTCAAGGATGCCCAAATTGGCATTTGACAGGTGTGAATCGGAGTGCACAGAATTCTTCAAGGGAGGGTTTTAGAGCGATGGAAACATTGTCTTCAGCAGTGTGTAGAGAAATGGAGGATATGTTGAGAAGCAATAACTTCACATTGTACTATTTTATTTAATGACAGTTTCTATGATTTTGTTGCAATACTTTTAGCCTTGTTAAGTGCCATCAAGTTAGTTTCAACTCATAGCGGACCCTGTGAATACAGGATTTCTAAAGAGTGACTGGCGGGTTTGAACTGCCAATCTTTTGGTTAGCCGTCCAGCGATTATTTTACAGCGCCAAACCAGACTTTTTGCCTTACCCTCATTTATCTCACCTAAAAATTAGGGATCATAGGACTTCAATCTGAGAGGAATGAGCAGAATAAATCAACCAGGTAGTTAATGTTATGCCTAGTAAAAAGCCAAAATCAAACCCCCAACCATCAAGTCAATTCTGACTCAGAGCAACCTGAAATGGGGTTTCCGAGATCTATCAATCTTTATGGGAACAGAGAGTTCATCTTTCTCTATGGTGTGCCTGATGAGTTTGGACAACCAAACTTGTGGTTAGCCTTCCAGTGCTGATCCCACAGTGCCACCAGTATAAGGATAAACATTAAAATCACAGTGTTTGCTACTGTGCTAGGCACTGAATGTTTTATGTGTGTTCATTTACTCACCGCAAGCATTCTGCAGGCCATGATCACATATGCATTTGGTGGAAGTGATACAGAGGGGTTGAGTGATTTCCCCAGGCTCACAGAGCTAATGTGAAATGAAGGTAGGATTTGAATCCAGGCAGTCTGGCTCCAAGGCCCATCCTGTATTGCCTCAGTTAAAGAGGACGAGGACCAGGGACTATTCATTCTTCAAGCAAGCCTAGAGAATAACTGACTTCTCTCTCTCTTGACCCAGGTTGTCAGCGGTGGCAGCACTCATGGCTGGTCCCCTGTGGCGGGCTGCAGCATTTATACAGAGACACAGGACAAGCCTCTTGGTATCATCTTGCTCAGGCCTGTTTGGGGCTCAGGTCTCATACCACCTCATCCCAGATCCTTTGGTCCAATGGCTGTACCAGTACTGGCCCCAGGGCCAGCCAGCCCCACTCTCTTTAGAGCTACAGAGCCTCTTCCAAGAGGTCCTCCAGGACATGGGCATCCCCTCAGGTCACTGCTACAAGGCTTTCACCACCTTCACCTTCCAGCCTGTGAGTGCCGGCTTCCCCAGGCTCCCAGCTGGTGCTGTGGTGGGCATACCCGCCAGCTTCTTGGGTAGCCCAGTGACCAACACTGACCAGCCTGTGGTGGTACATGGGCAAAGAGTGGACTGGCACACTCCATCAGGCACCCGACTGAGAGATGCCCTGACCCTGTCCCATGATGCCCAGAAGTTTGCCTTGGCCCGGGAGGTGGTATACCTGGAGAGCAGTGCTGCTGTCCTGCAGAGCCTGCCCGCCCCAGCTTGTGTGGCAGGGACCTGGGCACTAGGTGTGGGTGTCAAGCAGGCACTGGGGCTCTATGGCGGCCCCATGAACTTGCGGGCTGCCTTCAACTTAATGGCAGCAGTGGTGGGCTTTGTGGTCTATGCTTTCGTCACAGACTCCCTCACTCATACTCTGGAAGGCTGGCTGGACCGTCGCACGGCTTCCCTGTCTAAGGCCTATGCCCAGGGGGGTGTGGAGTTCTATGAGAAGGTTCTGTCAGGCAACCTGGCTCTGCGCAGTCTCCTGGGCAAACATGGGGAGAAGCTGTATACACCCAGTGGGAACATCATCCCCAGACACTGGTTCCGTGTCAAACATCTACCCTATACAACCCGCCGGGACTCTGTGCTACAAATGTGGAGAAGGACGCTCAACCCAGGCCACTCCTGAGGGGTCATCACAAAGACAGTTCCAGTCCTGCAGCACCACGCTGCCATCGACAGCAACTCTCCATGCCCAGGTCCAAATCCACACAGGCTAACCCACCACTTGTAAACTCTAACCTTGGGCATACCCCTCTGTAGACCTGACCCTTGACCTCCTCAGTTGTAAAACATGATGAGAACTACATCACAGGACTGTAGAATTGTATAGAAGCTTCAATGGACAGATCATGAATACTTGACAGCATTCTGTAAATACGTGGGAGGTTCTTCTTTCTCCGTCTTTGAGTACCACAAGTTAGGGGCGTCTGGCAACAAACATCTCACCACTGGTGCTTGCAGAATAGATGTGAGTGAGAGCTGCCACACAATTTGTGAAATCCCAATTTGAGGTGAGGGTCTAAAGGAACTCCAGGTGTGGCACTATAGGATCACTGGACTGCAAACCACAAGGTCAGCTGTTGCTCATAAACTACCGGGATGCTTTGAGTCAGAATCGACTCGACAGCACTTAACATCAGTCAGGGTCCTGTGGATACAGGTAATGTACTCAGGAAGGTGTGGGCAGCCAGCAGCACTGCTGGGCCGCCAGAAAATCTGCGGGCTTCAATGCCTGGGGTGCGGGATGTGGAGGGAGTTCCCAGAACCTGGTGAAACCTGTAGCATGGGATACCTATACATGTAGGTAAAAGAACAAGCCATTGCAAATCCAAGGCCCTGCAGAGATGGAGCTTCGTATTGCAGCCCAGAGTTTGGTTAGGCCATAGAAAAGAGAGGGTAAGCTTGGTTCAGAGAGGGCAGTGGGGAGAGCAGGGGAGAGTGGGTCACAATTGGGGCCCCTGAGGAAGCTGCTTCCACACGCAACTTACTTATAGTGAGCCCTCAGGTGGTAGATGTAGCATGCCTCCACTTTTGATCTTTACCTTAGATAAGCATGCATGGATGGCTGGATGAGGTAGCACTCCAGCAAATGAATCTGAACTCAAAAGCGCTTCTTCACGGTTCCTCAAAATATCTGCCTGCTGCTGCTGTAAGTAGGTTACAAGGCCACATGGAGCCATCTAATTCTTGACTTACCCCAACCACTCAGTACTACAGGTAACAAGATGAAGGCATCAGGCATTCCTCCCCAGAGCCCCAGTGTGATGGGAGGTGGGGTTAGGAACGGGAATGGATGCCCTGTAACAGCTCTTGTCGTTTGCTCAATTTTCACTTTGGTGGGCTGTTCCCAGCCCCCACACATGCCCTACATGGCACTGAGGCTCACAGAACTCCCACACTGTACAATACCCCTCTACCTCTTGCTCAAATCCTTACTCTCCCAAGCCTTCACACGAATCTTCTCTCTGCCTCTCCCAGCTCTTGAAAATACAGATTGTTTTCTTTCTTAAAATCTTTAGGACATCACTTGCTTTCTGGCTAAGGCCCCATCTCCAAACCATCTGGTGTCTCACTTCCTCTGACTCTGGATTCTACGCTTGCCAGCCCCCTTGGTTCCTTAACAGCTTTCCCCTCCACATGGGACTCAATACTTGGTTTATCTTTTATCTGCATACTATCTCCCTGGCTTGCCCTTTGCTCAGTTATTTAGGGCTCTTGTTACAGTAAGTACTCCTGGACCTGAGGGGGCTCTAGCATCACTCCCTCCCATAATCTTTCCTGATCTCACAGTAGATACCATTATATGCACACCTCTTCCTAGTCCTAATTGTTAACTGAGTAAATTGTCGTGGAGTTAGTGATTGAACATCTTTGCTGAAATGTAATTCCGACAAGGTTGGGAGTTGCGTATCTTGCTTACTATATTCTCTCTATAATATTTGTTGAATAAATGAGCAGGTACCTTTATCTACAGCAGACAAAGCCTCAGCTCCCTGAAGTCTTCTGATCAGTTTTTGGAAGGCTGCAGGTTGCTCTGGGTGAGGTCATCATAGATTAATTACCTACTTCATGTTATATTGTCTTCCCAACTTGACGGCAGTTCCCAAGGGCAAGTTCTGTCCCATTCTTCCATAACTACTGACTTCAGTAGGACACCTGGAGACTTGGGTCACTTCCTGTAGGACAAAGATTACTCCTCATAGCACCAGGGGTATTAGGTGATATATTGTGGTCCTGTACAGAGATCTCTGATTCCAGAAAGGTTAACATGCCCTAGGTCTTTGCAACAGTGTCCCAAAGCAGATCTTACCACTTTCCTGTCATGTATGCTCTTGAGCACTTTACCAGGAATCCTTGGTGACCCATGGTCCCTGCACCTCCCAAGTCCATGGTTCTTTGGGCTTGATTGTGCAAAGAGAACAATCCCACACAGACCAAGACAATCAGATGTAACCAAAGGAGTTCAGGTGCTTGCACTGACTGAACAATGCTTACTGGCTCTGCCCATACCCAGTGTCTGTGGAGCAGAGCCCGCTCAGCCACATCTGGAGCAGGGCAGACACAGGAACACCCAATCCCCATGTATGCATACACAAGGACCCACAAAGACACAGAAGTCTTCACAGAGCAAGGCCTCCTATGCATCTCCTGCCGAACTAGATCCCTATAGTGATGTTTGTAAGACCTTTACTGTACTCTTAAGAGGCATTTATCTTCAAATTAGGATATAGTCCTGGTGTGGCACTATGGAATAATACACTGGACTGCAAAGTCGATGATTAAGATTCACTAGCCACTCCTTGGAAACCCTATACATGGTTGCTATGAGCCAGAACCCACTCAGTGGCACTTAACAACAACAGTGTTGTGTCCTGGAGTTCCGGTGTGGCTCTACAGAATAAGCACTGGACTGCTAATTGCAAGGTCAGTAGTTCAAACTCTTCAGAAACCCTAAACAGGGTCTTTGAATTGGAATCAACTCATTGGCACTTTAACCACTATCGTGTTAGTCTATTTTACACATGAGGAAATGACTCAGACATGAAAAAATTTCCCCATAGTCAAAGCTTTGTAAGTAGAACCAGAATTTGAAATGGACAGTCTGGTTCCAGACCCCATTCTCAAACTACCACATTTATCTTGAAGGGACTCTAAGGGCCCTTCTTTCCATGATGAATTAGAAGGACCTGCCCAGGCTCACCTCGTGTGGAAGCTCTTGCCGTTCTGGAATTCCAGGGGAGACCCTTCAGCCAACTGAAGAAAAAAGGGGCCACTCAATTGTTTAGCACTTAAATGGTTGTGGGGTCATTTTTGACTCAATCCTGTGTAGGGATTCTGAGGAGCGATTGAGTTTGAACCGACGACCTTGCAACCCAGTGCTTATCCTACAGTGCCACGCCACGACTCTGACTTAAAGGGTAATGGGGTGGGAAGCAGAGAATTAAGGTGATCTAGGAGAAAAACGTGGCATCAGGATTGGAGGAAGACTCATTAACAACCTGCGATTTGCAGATGATAAAACCTTGCTTGCTGAAAGTGAAGAGGACTTAAAAAAAACATTTACTGATGAAGATCAAAGAGCACAGCCTTTAATGTGGATGACATCTCAATATAAAGAAAACAAAAATCCTCACCACTGGACCAATAACTTTCTTATCAATGGAGAAAAGATTGAAGTTGTCAAGGAGTTAATTCTTGGAACAACTATCAACACTTAGGAAGTAGCAGTCAAGAAATCAAACGATGTATTGCATTAGGCAAATCTGCTACACAAGACTTTTTTAAAGTGTTGAAGAGCAAAGATGTCAGCTTAAGGACTCAGGTGTGCCTGACCCAAGCCATGATATTTCCAATTACCTCATATGCAGGTAAAAGCTGAACAGTGAGTAAGGAAGACCATAGAAGAATTGATGCTTTTGAGTTATGGTGTTGGAGGAGAATATTGAAAGTGCCATGGGCTGCCAAAAGGACCAATAGATCTGTTTTGGAAGAAGTGCAGCCAGAGTGCTCCTTGGAGGCCAGGATAGCCAAACTTTTTCTCTCATACTTCAGACATATTGTCAGAAGGGACCAGTCTCTGGAGAAGGATATCATGTTTGGTAAGGTGGTGGGTCAGAGAAAAAGAGGAAGACCCCCAACGAGATGGATTGGCCAAGTGGTAGCATCAATGGACTCAAGTGTGGCAACAGTAGTAAGGTTGTCCCGGGATCGGGCAGTGTTCCGTTCTGCTGTGCCAGTACCGACTGACTCAGTGGAACCAAATAACAACAACAGGAGGCTCCAGCAGAGAACAAGGCGTCCTTAGAAGACAAGGGGAGAGTAGAGACTGCACAGCCAGCCATGGGTTTAAGTCTGGGCCCTGCCACTGTAGCACAGAGATTTAAAGCAAGTCACTTCATATTTCTAATGATGAATTTCCTATCAAATGGAGATTGGTTTTCCCACCCACCCTTTTCTTAAACTGTGATAAAAAAAATTTGCCATTTTCATTAATTTTTTAAGTACCTATATCCTCGGAAACCCTGTACAGGGTCGCTATGGGTCGGACCCGACTCGATGGCACTTAACAACAACAACAACAACATATCCATAACTACATTCACAATGTTGTGTGATTGGTTATCACCGCTATTTGCAGAACTTTTTATTATCCCAAATGGTAATTCTGTACCCACTAGAGAATGTAGTCGTTAAGTGCCACTAAAGAATAACTCCCATTAAACAATCAAAGGTTGGTAGTTTAAGTACACCTAGAGGCACTTTGGAGTCCTAGTGTGGTGCTGCAGAATAATGCACTGGAACCCAAGGTCTGAGGTTCCAAACTCACCAGCTGCTCCTTGGAAACCCTATACAGGGTCGCTATGTGTCGGAACCAACTGTACAGCACTTGACAACAACAAAGGCACTCTGGAGTCCTGGTATGTCACTGCAAAATAAGCACTGGACTGCTAACCACAAAGTCGGCAGTTCAAACCCACCAACTTCTCTCAGCAACCTTAAACAGGGTTGCTATGAGTTGGAACCAACTCAATGGCATTTAATAACAACAGAGGCACTTTGGTAGGAATGCCTGGCAATGTACTTCCAAAATATTTGTTATTGAGGACTATGTAGTACAGCCCTGTG